CTTTACTCTTCTCCTTTAGCCTTCTCTTCTTTTTCAGATATAACTCATTATTAAGGAGATTATAGTGTACCAAATGATTTTTTTAGATAATAATTGTTAAGGATATTAACAACAATTTTCATCAGGGGGCCTCTCTACAGCTGTAAAGAAGTTTTAACAATAATATCCTAAATTCCTTGATAATACTTCAAGAAATAAGAGATCAACTGTACAGTTCATCATGACAAAAAATGCTTTTCCTCACAGAAACTTTACAAAACTAAAAGTAATACACAGATTTTCTAGAACTTCAGGCAAAAATTATCTTTAAAATTAGATCAAAATGAATTTCTGTTTCTATATAGGTTATGTCTAAGGGATGCTGTAGAACAGCTGCTCAATTTGGGACTTTATTTAAAAGATCTTGACACAGCTTCATTGACCCAACACTAAGTTAGCATTAGTAACAGCTCATCTATATGCTCAAGTCACCCGCTGGGGGGAATGAGCTGCCAGTGTGAGTCCTTAGGCAAGACCCTTCACACTGATGTCTACTTTGTAAGGCGCCTTGGATAAAATCTGCTAAATGCATAAACAAATAGATTGTATGAGATGGGAAATTTCAAAGGAAAATAATGAAGCTCGTAGGGTGAACTATGGATTCTGAGAGAGAAAAAAACAAAATTATAGGGCCGGATCTCCAAATGCTTCAAATATGATTATGTGCATAAAGTACAGGGGTTTGACGGTGCTCCACTCAGGGCATGACATTTGAAGTAAGATTCGAAGTAATCTCATGCCCTGACAACTGACTTGTAGAGTCCTCTCCCTAAAAATATTTAATTCTCTGTGAAAAAGTGCAGCTCATTCTTTTATAAGATCCTCATAAAACGGACATGCAATGTTTGTTTTTTAAAACCTGATGTGTGTAACGGACCTAGGGAATGAACATTTTTTTCATGCAAAAAACTATGGCAAAAATCAGACTAAATCAGGAAATAAAACAACGTGATTGGTTGCAATGAGAGCGGAGACAGTCCGAGTTTACCTAAAAAAACCTGCTACCAACCAGGTTAGCTCTGGGGAGAAAGTTATTACCGTGACTGAAACAGAGGGTGAATAAACTATCTTTGTGAACCGGAAATGTCAGAGTTTCCCTGTTTTCAAGTTGACAACTTTGACTTTTTTGGTAGACCTGCTTCATGAAACAAACCCCTGGTGCTTTGTGTAATCTACAAAAATTGCTGCTCAAATGTTAAATTGATTAGGTTCTGCCTATTAGCATGAGCAGATTGTGTGTCCTACAGGCAGTTTGAGAGTTGACATAAAAGAAAGATGTGTATTCAGTATCAAAGCCATGGAGATGAAGGATGTTATAACTAAATTTAAAGAAAATTTGATGAAAATAATAGATAATATTTACCTGAAATAGGTAGTCTATCTAAAAACGGTATAAAAAATACCCCAAACCTATTTATAAGAAAAAGTAAAATTAAATATAAAATTTTTTGTGTCTGTTGATTGACTTTAGAGCAGATTATGCTCTGAACATCTGGAGTTATCACTACAGATCCTCTTAACAGCGCCTTGGCACAATTTACTGAGACATAAAAAAAACAAAAACAGTTTCAACAGCTTTGTGCAGAGTTCTCACACTAAAAAGTACACATCTGTCTGCTGAATTTCAAACACAAATGCACCTCCTGTGAAGATCTTCCACGTTGCATGCAAAAACAGGATTGCACCTCTATTAATACACACCACCTTTCTAAAGATTAGGTCCATAAACTTTATTCAGATGATGGATAAGTTAAGGTATGACAAGGTGTTATAATGTAGAATCTATGAATATTTTTAATCATACAGTTTCTATAGTTTCAAAGTATGTTGATGGAACTCCAGAGAAAGTGTTGGCTTGCACAATTCTCCTAGTAACGCTTAAAGCTTGGTTAATCTATTTGTATCCAGATCCAGCTTTAAACTTCTCAACAACAGTATAACAGTAGGTGCATTTATACAGAGACTTAATTACACACAGGTGGAATCTATTTATCATCATCAGTCATGTAGGTCTCTCAGGTTAACTGGAAGTTTCGAAGGACCCAAATTCAGAGATCTAAGCTAAAGTGGTTTCTTGCTGAATTAATCATTCAAAATGGTGGCAACTGAGGCAAAGATCCAAACAATAACAGAACACAGAAAACCAAAAACTAGAAGATATAAAGGAAAACAAACATGAGGATCAAGAAACAATGAGGAACCAGCACTGAGAAACTGCACTGGGAGAGTGTTAATTTGAGAGTTAGAACAAAGACTGGGCTAATGAGACGACAAGAAACAGGTGTGGGTAGAAGCATCTAGAAGGGAGCTAGGGGAAGGAGACTGACAAAAGGGGGAAAGAAAAGGTAAACAAGAGATACATAAGAACTAAAAAAAAAATAGCAAAAAACAACTAGAATAACAAAAGAAATGGAAAATAAAACTAAAAAAGAACACTTAAACAAATCCAAAGCCATGACTAGGACACCATTAGATCTTTCAGATCTAATGGAACTTTTGGAGAGAGTTTGCTGCACTGAACGTAAAGGGGCTTATACCTTTTGCCCACTTTTCAGTATTTTATTTGTTAAAAAAAACATTTAATTATTCAATAAATTGGTTGATTCTCCCCCACCCCCCAAAAAAATAAAATAAAAATTCTATCTTTATTTTTGAAGCCTGAAATGTGGCAAAAGATTGAAGTGTTCAAGGGGGCCAAATACTTTTGCAAGTTACTGCATATCATTATTAGGACTGGTGGCTAGTATTTTAACATAAGGTTATCAAACCATAGGAATCCGTTCTTGTCAAATAGGCGAGACATTTCTAACCTAAATAAAGATTGAAAACGTATTTTATGTAGATGCTTTTAAAGTTTAAGCCTTCTTTGTTTTTGTTTTTTAAGAAATTGGTTAACATGAGTTGATGATACTTTTAAGCCTAGTATATTGCATGATTTAGTTGCTAAATATTCTTTTGGCAGTGTTTCAGTCCTGACTTGAGTCCAAGCATTGATCTGCTGCATTTGTTTTTTACGGCATTAAAACAATTTCAGACTCATTAAGTGACTGACACGGTGGGGTGCTTGTACACTGTGAAACTGGGAGGCCATTAACCTCTCATCTGGCCTGCTGGCTTGTTAAAACATTCATGTGTAGCATTAACTCTTTATTCCCACCAAAGAAGGAAAATCTGATGCTCATTTGATCACTCGGCTAAGCAGCAACAAATGTATGCTTCCTTCCCTTGTTGTCAGGCCTTACCTTGAATGCACTTCTCAGCTGCTTTTCCAGCTCTGGGCGCTTGTTTTAACATTAATCACTGCTCCCCTTTAACTAAATTGCAGGGTTGTTAATGTAAGTGCATTTTAATGGAACACTTCTGAAGAAACTCCCTCTGTTACATCCACCTTTTCAAACATGGTTCCAATTACAAAAACAAGCTTTCATTCAGAGTGAGGGAACCCACAGAAGCAGAGAGAAACAAAGAGTTAGGGGAGCCTTCACTAATCAGGTTCACCTGCCAAAGTGAAAGCATACGCCACATACTACTGTTTATTAGTGCATTTTATATCCAACATGTGACCAGGTTTAGAAAACATAAAGCTATACTTTGACGTTTGCGTTACTGGTTCTTGGTAACAGAGGGGGTCCAAAGCTTGATCTGGCTGGATATTTTCACAACAAAACAGTGATGTCACATAATCAGTTTCCTGCCAGTTCAAAAGAACTTCCTTAAATGTCAAATTACACAGACAGCAGTCAGAGATTGAACATCTGCACAATGTTGAGATTAAAAACAAGAGTCACACACAGCGAGGATATGAATGGGCTGATGTCATGGAGGGCTGACCATCGGTGGGGTATGTTTGTAATATTGCTGGAAAGAATTACAGTTGCTTTGATGGGGGGGAAATGCTTTAATTAAGATAGGATTACCTTATTTTGATATGGGTCTGTTTCCTGATTTAAAAAGTAAGATTTTTGTTTGATTTGCACATCACCTCTCACGCTTAGTGATATCTGGTATTATTTCTCTGCTTAAAATCCTTGTTGAATGTATAGACACTATGAATAATACATAACTCCACATAGCTTTTGCTGTTGGTGGTATTAGTTTATCTTTAGTTTGGGGCGACAGTGGCTTTGGATGTGGGAGTTTGCCCTGAAATCGAAGGATTGAAGGTTCAAGCCCCGGCTCTGACTTTCAGTGTCGTTGTGTCCTTGGGCAAGACACTTCACCTGCATTGTCTACTGATGGTGGTCAGAGGGCCCGGTGGCGCCAGTGTACGGCAGCCCCGCTTCTGTCAGTGAGCCCCACGGCAGCTGTGGCTACAATGTAGCTTGCCAACATCAGTGTGTGAGTGAATGGGTGAATGACTGTAGTGTAAAGCGCTTTGGTCAAGTCTCCTGACTTGAAAAAAGGCGCTATATAAGTACATGCCATTTACCATTTATCCTGTTAATTTGTTGACACCTTCTTTCACAGACCAACATAAAGTAACAGACAGTTTTGACGTAGCAGGAAAACAGTATGACCGAGAAAAATTCAGCAATGATTTTAATTTATTTACTTTATTAATTTACCAGACCTATGTGAGTCTTCTTATACAGCATTTAAAAATTCTTGAATTCTAGAATTATATGGCTAATTGTTCAAGAATTTGCAGCACTGAAACCAAATTAACCCTTCTTAATTTGCCTGATTTCCTTAATCTCCTTAGCAAGTTTTACAGATCAGTTCTACAGGAGACATTATTTGCACTAGAGTCAGTTGCAATGGTTGAGTACGATTTTTTTTACACTAATTTTTAAAATGGATGACAATCAGCATATTCTCTGAATTGTTAAGATGGTTTATCCTTTGGATATTCTGTAAAACTTTGACTTAACACAGATCTACACCACTTTGTTTGTTGCTCTCATAAATTAAGCTGAAGCTGTGGCTGAACTTTCGAAGAAAGGATAAAGCAGGAACTGTACCTTGGCCCAAGCTCGTCCTCACATCTCCAGGTGAATTCACCGAAGCTCTCATAGCGGTGGTTGTAATGGTAAAGAACACGATGCAGTGTTGGAGCACCCAGGTCCATGAGAGTGTTGTAGGCAGTCTGCTGTTCTTTCCCACTTGTGTAGCCATTGAACAGGTTGTAGATCTTATCTGCAATTTCTGAAGCGAAACATGAAATCTGGAGTCAACACAAACTGTGAGATAAGTTATCATCAGCATTACATGTGTTTGATTAAGACATGTTTTCGTTTGTTTTCTGTGTGTATCTGAATTCCTGAGAAAAAAACAAAAAAC